TCTATAGCAAGACTTCAAGTACAGGTGAAAAATAGAATTTCAAAGAAAACTGTAATTTTTAGCACAAAAATCGCAATTGTGTTGCCCGTTGCTAGATATAGCAAACTCCAAAATAGATATTTCTAATAATGTTAATTGTAAAATTTCAGTTGTTTTTAATCCTTAATGTGTTTGAATTTGTAAATTTTATTGAATAAAAAAAAGTTAAAACATTTTATCTACTCTTGCTTTGAAAGTGTCACTTTATCTACCTTTGCAGTTAAAATGATACTTTATCAACTCAAAACAGTTGTTATAGCAACACTTTAACATTAGCTATGGAGAAAAAGTATTTTATTGAAAAAGTAAAAAACACTAACAAAGTGGTGTATCATGTAAAATCAATGAAAGTCCAGGCATTTAATTGGTCTGTAGACACTATCAGTACCATTAGTTATCATCATCTCTGAGATTGTTGGCATGAGGTAAACTATCATAATAGTCCTTGGCTAATTCAGAACAAAATATTTTTAAAGCCTGAATATCTGTGAATTTCGGCTCAGGAATAGGCAGTTTGCCTGTGTAAGCCTGCTGTGGTAGTGAAAATTCATAATTATTTTTTTTTGTCAACCGCAATAGTTGAGGACTGTTAACTGTGCATGACAACCATGAGCTACTGTAATTTTCTTTGTAAAAGATTAACATCAATTTTCAACTGTTTTAAAGGTCTGCTTACAAAGGGACACTTTTTTTGTAAAAAGGAGTCAGAAATGCAGGCCAAGATAATAAATAAAATAATTTCTAGTATATTCCTTGACATTGAATGGCTTAGGTTTCCTTCAAGACTCTCTAATGTGCTGTGCCCACTCACTAGGTAACTTAATCCTTGCTTTTTAATTAATGAAAACCATATGGCGGCCAACTTTTAAATCAGAGTGGCCACGGATAGGAAATACAACAATAATTTCTGTAAAGCGATGGCAGGGATGGATCTGCGTTGGATGTATTTTTGAAATACTGGAATCGTTTGCATTCACAATTTTCCCCAGTCTCTTGAACCCTAGAAAATGAGAATTAAAAGAAAAAGAAGAAAGAGCTATAACAAAAAAAAAAAGAAAAAAGAAAGAGGAGCAGCAAAAAGCTGTAAATAAAAATATTAAAAATCCGAAGTTCGGGCACAAAACCAAAAAACCTAAAATAGATTATTCCGAAAGCGAGGGAGATGAAGAATGGCCTGAAAGCGGAATAAATCTTGACGATATACCAGAACATTTTACTAGTGACAACGAAGAGAAAACTTTAGCCAAAACTGCTGAAAAAGAAATGCAATAAAGGACGGGGAATTTTATTTAGTTAGTTTTCCTGGGAAACAAATATCACACAACTACGTTTGTACTATTCTAAACGTAGTCAGTCGAGATGAAATAGTAGTTCAAGCTATTTGTCCTGTTGACGAAGATAAGTCAAACTATAAGCATATTGACGGTTATATTAGCATAGTCACTAAAGTTCAACTCTTATGTAAGATGGAGCAGCCAAAACTTGTAGGTACTGAGAATCTTATTAGATACAAATTTTCTGCTGCAATACCTAACAAGAAGTAAGTATATAAATAATAAATAAGTATATATATATATATATATATATATATAATATATATATATATATATATATCAGTATGTTAGAAATATCGGGTATGTGGTCTATATTAAATAAAAATCTTTGTTTTTTCTAAAACTCAATATTTCGCCATTTATTTAACTGCTACATCAGAAGTAACTGTAAAAAACAAACATTTCAAAAAACTGACGTACACTTAGATTTATAATACTTACAGAACTTAAAAGATTTCACACATAAATAAACTTGACATTAAAATAAACATTTTTGGTAATGTATATGCTTGTTAAAATGTAAATATATATGAGCACGTTCGTTAACAATAAATGAGATGGAAACAACTAAAAGTTATTTAAAAAGCAAAAACTAACAATGTAAGAAAACATTAGAGGAATATTATTTCTTTAATTAATCATTAAGGCTAGTTAGTATGATTAATCATTAAGGAGAGTGAGTTTTAAATTTTGTTCAATATATTGCAATATATGTTGCTTAATTGCCCCGTGTCTGTTTTATAATTTAAAGTTTGTTTATTTTTGTTGATGTGGTACATCTCCAAAAATATCCTACTTTTGTAATTGTCAGTCTGTGCCAGAATACGAGCATTGTTATAGTCTAACAGATGACCGGTGTTTTTATAATGCTCGACTACTGCACAACTATTTTTTCCCAAGCGGCAATCACTTTTGTGCTGTGTGATACGTTGTTTTAGCCACTGCGATGTGTGGCCAATGTAGCTTTTTTCACATCCTAGACACGGTATTTCATATACCACATTACTCCTATATAAGGGTGGTACTGGATCTTTAATTTTGGAAAAAAGTTGTTTGCTATTTATGGTATTGTATTTAGCTAAATTAATATTGGAAACATCTTTAAATATGGATATGACTGAATGAGACCATTGATAAAGGGGAGTTTTTTATATTTAATTGATCCATTGTTGGAATCAAGGACAGGACCATCATAGAAATTACTGCTGTAAATGAGTTTTTTTTTTAATATGTTTAGGATAGCCGTTGTTTCGAAAAATTTTTGTATAATATGTCCAGATTTTTCTGTAATAAATTATCATCAACAATGGACATTACCCTATTTTTCATACCCAATATTGTATTATATTTTTGACGAGTGGTGTGGTTTGAAAAGTAATTCATATACCTGCCCGATGCAGTTGGCTCTTGGTACCAATCCAATGTCAAAATATTGTCATTTGTTTTTATTACCTTTGTGTCTAAAAATGGTATACTAAGATCTGTCTCTGTTTCAATTGTAAACTGCAGATGTTTGAGATGTTTAATGTGGTATTGATGTGATAAGATGGAACTGCACATATGATGTCATTGACATATTTATATATAAATGGTAATTCGAAAGGTAATTGCGTGATCACATTGTCTAAGAGATGATCAGTTTACAATAGTAGCAAGGATGGGACTAATCGGGGAACCCATAAGTGTTCCAAAAATTTGGGAGTAAAATTTTCCATTGAAACTGAAATAAGTGTTATTAAAAATGAACCTGAGAATTAGTAGAAAATTACCTTTAGATAATGTCGTGTATTCTTTTATTTTTGGTCGAAATAATCACGTCAAATATATATATATATATATATATATATAAATATATATATATATTTATATATATATATAATATATATATATATATATATATATATATATATATACTTATATATATATATATATATATATATATATATATATATATATATATCGCAAAAAGGAGTACGACCGTCTATCCAATATAAATAAAATATGGTATTAAAATTTAATACCATTGACAACTACATATCTTTTTTAAGGTAACTATTTAACATCTTCTTCATGAATGTGTGGTACTCATAATGTAAAAATTTTTAGATGAACTGATGATGCTATCAGAATTCAATAGCGAAACGTCTTCAAAATAGATGAAGTAGTATCAACTTTGTCTTTTATTTCTCCACCTAGTTGACCGATAATTGAACCCACCACTCGTCTGAGTGATCCTTATTTATATATATATATATATATATATATATATATATATAATATATATATATATATATATATATATACACATATATATATATATATATATATATATATATATATATATATATATATATATATACATACATATACTATTTTTTTTTGTTAAGAAAATTTTTTTTAGGTTTAGTTTCAAAGCTTTTATACGATCTTACATTATAAGTGAACATTTGTTTAGTTATGAGAATTTCCTTAATTGTTCAAATACTGGTGAACTCACCCTACAGTACTGCAACCATAAAAGTAATATTACACAAAGATACAAAATGTATAAAAACCAAAAGAGGAATAAGGCACAGAGAGAGGAAGGGGAACGTTGTCTCCCTGTCGTTGTATTTACGGTGATTCTGGAACATATTTTTAGAAAATTGGAGTAGGAACCAAAGGAATTAATATCGATGACGAAATGCTTTTCCACCTACGATTTGTGGACGATATTGTTCTGATAACGAATGACTTAAAAGAGATTGGAACTATTGGAACAAGTGAAAATCCAAAAGTCGACTGCAACTAAGGTCATAAAATCCAAATTACTAGTGACAATCCAATTTCTGAACTACAAAGGAATCAACTTTGAAACACCTTCCTTAATCCAGGTTACAGCAACCAAACTTAGAGTAGCTCAAAGACGAATGAAACGCTTGCTACTTGGATTGACTCTCAAAGACAAAGTTAAAAATAAAGAAATAAAAGGACAAGAGTCGGGCCATGTGGACAGGGCAGTTCAAGTAGAAAGAATGAATGATGGGAGATGAACCCTAAAAATCAGAGTAAGGAGATCACGAGCTAATGGCAGAAGCAAAGGGTAACCACATACACGATGGGGTCAAAAGAATCGCAGGGTATTGGTTGCAGGGAACTCAACACCAACAGAACTAGAAAAAATTGGGGAAGGCCTATGTTCAACCTTAAACTCAGATGGCTGGATAATATTGATGATTGATTATAGTCAGTTGAATCGTTACTTATTTACTTATTCTGAAATCCATGTAATTTCACTTAATAGACTTTACCAGCACTTTTTCACTTAATAGTTTGTAGACATAGTCAGCAAATATTTACTTATTATAAATGTGATAAGTATTGATACCAGTACATAATAAATTTAAACCTAATCATTTTTTGTAAAAAAGTGAATAAAATTCGTGACGTCAGAATAAACAAACATTGTAATAATCACTGAACAGTCGCTGTATTGATTTAGTGTATGTGGATTATAGAGTTCCCTTAAAATGACTCATTCTTTCCTAGTTCCTACCTAAATATTCCCCTCTTACACTGTAATTTAACGAAATTCGGGAATATTGAGAGAAACTAGTAGAGGCGGGTCCGGATTTGTACAGAATAGTAATGAAGTCTCGTGAAAGGGAAGATATAAGCGGTGAGTCTAGTCTCTTAATTTAAAGGCAGATTACAACTTTTTTTATTGATTTATTGCTCTGCAGTCAACTTCACTGAAAATAATTGCATATGTATTAAAAAGTAGTTCTAAAAGTCCAGCAATGTTGGTTTCAGAAAAATATAAAATTTACAATTTTGTTTTCATTTATATTAAAATATTAATGCTGAAATTAATTAAAACCTTAGGCTAAAAATCAAATACAGAAAATTATAACTAATGAAAAATATAATGCTAATGCAGCAGTTACTTCAAATATTTACTAAATTACAATTTACATTACCATTAATCAGTAACATCCTATCTGAGCAAATGTATGCAATTATATCAGCTTTAATTAATATAAGTGACCACACCATCTTCAAAGCTGTGGTAATTACTGATTCTCTCAGTTTATAACATATAATAAAACAGCTGTTTATGAATAGTGGTACCTCGATATAAAAGTTTATTTCCTTCCTTAACCTTGCTCGTATGTCAAATTGCTCATATATGAAAGCAATTTTCCCAAATAAAACTAATTGAGATGTCATTAATTTATTCCAGCTCCCAAAACACCACCTTCTTTTTAGTAAGACAAATGTATTTACAAAAAGGGACATTTATTTATAATTATATATATATTTATAATATATATATATATATAGGGACATATATTTATAATACATATGTGAAAGAACAAGTAAATTGCTTACAAAAACTGTCAAGAAAGTTTGGTTCTTTCTCCCTTTAAGGATATTGCGGAAATGAGTTAGGCAAGTTTCGTTAAACAGCTCCGATGCACGACTAGTTGCCCAACTCTACAACTTTCTCCCACATTACCAAGATCTCCTTTATATCTCTCGTGGTGATAACCTCCTCCATCTCTGTTCCTCTTTAAAACACATTTTTCGTTGACTCGTCCTTCAGACTCATGGATTTTCTCAGAGAAACAATCTCCTCTACCACTGATACTTCGGATTCCAATCCTTCGAAGGCCCTTTCAGTTACAGCCTCAGGCCATAACTTCTTTCATGCATAGGTTAAGGTCCTTGTTGTAACACCCAGCCAGGCAATAACAATAATTCTTAGACATATCACGATGTTAAAGTGGTCCTTCCAGAACTCTCGAAGGCTAGGTTTGTGTTTTCCGTCACCTCAAGCAGCCCCAAAAATGTCCCTGGTGTACAAGTTCTTAAAATTAGAGATTACCTGCTGATCTATGAGCTGCAGGATAGGAGTGGTATTGGATGTTATGTAGAAAACCTTTATAAGTTTGAATTTTCGAGTAATTCATCTTCGAGAGTTGGTCGGTAAGCAGGGGCATTGTCAAGCACGAGAAGGGCTTGCATGTGTAGGTTATTTTCCTGTAAAATAAAAGGGACGAACACTAGGTTTATTCACTTCACAGAGAATTTCCTGGTGGTCTACGCCTTTGGATTTTCTCGTCACATAACTTCTCCAGTTTTTCTTTAAAAATATTATGTGACTTAAAGGCCCTGGGATTTTCCGAATGGTATATTAGCTCAAGCTCGATTTTTCAGTCACCACCTGCATTAGCGCAAAGTCTTAGACTTAAAATATAGTTCACATGGTTTGTGAGTTGGTATTGTCCTCTCTTCTATTCTATTCTATTTATTATATTCTATTATATTTATATTATATTATATTATATTATATTATATTATATTATATTATATTATATTATATTATATTATATTATATTATATTATATTATATTATATATATTATATTATATATTTATATTATATTATATTATATTATATTATATATATTATATTATATTATTGTCTCCGGAGGCGTGTCAGGCAGAAGCTGACCGCCGTGCCGGATGCATTTAGAAATTCGGAGAAATACTTGGAAATTCCAAGTGTGGGCAAATCCGAATTTCTAATTGACTCGATGTAGGGAAATTCCACTTTTACTACGTAAAACAAAGGATTTGTTGTATATAAAAGCAGACGGAATTTCTCTCATCGGTCAGTCGAGCTTGCCTCTTCTACTGTAGACCTAGTCGGTGCTATTATTGTTCCAACTAAGTTATTGTTTTATTTCTTATTTCCTGATAACCATTTATATTTTATTATTGTATATTCAGACCTTTTCAGGTTAGAATATTACTTTGATTTATATTTGTTCATGTACTGATTATTTGATATTTTATTTGATTATTTTGATTGTTTATTTTTCTTGTATTTTGTATCTAAGTTGTTCTTCCGTAAGTTAAGAACACTTAGAAATATTTACCTTACTTTTTTTCCTATTTTATAAAATTTGATTTTGTACTTTGTGTCTAAGTAGTTCTTTCCGGTAAGTCAAAGAACTCTTAGAAATATTTCTCTGATATTTGACTCGTTAATTTTATTGTGTGCCTAAGGCATTCTTTTCCGGTAAGTCAAAAGAACACTTAGAAATATTTTCATAATCATTATTGCATTATTATTTCCGATATTTATCTAAGATATTTTCTTAATATATTTGTCTCTTTTATTTTACCATTTCATGCTGAGTTGTTTCTTCCGTAAGTCAAGAAACACTTAGCAATATTTCCATATCTTTTCTGTATTTGATTTTCTTATTATAAGTTGTTTCTTCCGTAAGTCAAGAAACACTTACAAATATTTGTATTCTTATTTTACTATATTTGATTCTCTTGTTTGTTTTTTTTTGTTCTAAGAAACACTTAGAAATATTTCCATACATTGTTTCATATTTACATATTTCATTTATCTATATTTCTGTCTTAAGTTGTTTCTTCCGTAAGTCAAGAAACACTTAAGAATATTTCTACACTTTTCCGTTCTTTTATTCTTGTGTATTTTACTTCTCATTCTAAGTTGTCTCTTCCGTAAGTCAAGAAACAATTAGAAACATTTTCTGTGCATTGTATTTTTATATACCATTTTATTTCCTTGTTTACTAAGTTATTTCTTTCGTAAATCAAAGAATACTTAGATTATTTTACCTGTTCTGTTTTCTATTTTGATCTGCTATTTTGTAACTGTACCTTGGAACTGTTACCTATAACAGATACTTGTCACGGTAACTGTTATTTTATACCAGTAGCAGTATTAACACGTTTTACCAGCGACAAGCAAAGATGGTCAACACCCGATAAAATTCCGGGGACAGGAAGAAGTCCGAAGAGCCGGCGATGGGTCCTACAGGCCCTAATGCCCCCTCTCGGCAACATTATATTATATTATATTATATTATATTATATTATATTATATTATATTATATTATATTATAATATATTATATTATATTATATTATACTATATAATATTATATTATAATATATTATATTATAGTATATTATATTATACTATATTATATTATATTATATTATATTATATTATATTATATTATATTATATTATATTATATTATATTATATTATATTATATTATATTATATTATATTATATTATATTTTATTTTATTGTCATTTTCACAAAAAACATAAAATTTTAATTTCATTCACTGCTTTTTTTATAAAACCAATATTTTTTAATGTAAACTGATATCACATTCATGGATTTTTTTAACATTAGCTTAAACTATTTGTGATTACATATACATATAAGTTTCAATGGTAGTCCTAGCAAATGTAGAATCCTGAGATTGGAATTTTCATCAGTTCAACAACGTGTTTACTTCTACAGTCTCTAGAAAGTCCCTAAGAGTGGTTTATAGTTCTTCACGGTGGCGATAATTGCTACCATGTAACCAAACTGGTCAAATAGGGAGGTACAATAGAAGAATAATAAAGCTTTTCGACCATTTTATTTTACATTGTTTATTTATTAGTTGAATTTTAATTATTTTGAGTTTTTTGATTAAAAGATTAAAAGGACGATTACCATCTAGATAGTCCGACCAAATTAATAATTTAGCTTGAAACTCATTATGCGAACCTCTCGGAGCGGCTGAAGATAAAGACCAATGAAGAAAACTTATTACGGATAATGGAAGAAATCATGATCCTCGAGAATGGGGAAATGACAAGAGAGAAAGTTATACTTTCAGACGTTTATCAATCATAGTTTAAATCAGATCATGAATATTTGGTGTAATGAAACCATTTTACACTTAGAATTTTTAGAACAATTGTTGAAATGTAGATAAGAGAATGGAAGTGGAGGAAGCTTAAACACACTTCTAAGAAACCATATACTGCTGTTCAAACGAAACTATTTTCTTATAAAAAGGAAGCGCTAAACAGTAGGAAAACTTAATGCGGACTGAGAAACCTTTCTATGAATAAATAGGATGGTAGAATTTCCTTGGATGTCATACGCTCTATAGGGAGATAATCTCTAATTCGGACAGATTTTACCATAGTGCATCTAGGGATCATAGTGGCGTTGTAATTTTTGTATATTATACGGGTTTCTTAAAGTAAATTTTAGTATTTAAACTTACTTTACGCTGACCTTGTTTGAAATTTCATGAAATATTGGAATACAATATTGCGCGGTACAATATTGGACGCATGAATGATGCATCATCCGCGATATTAGTGCACGAATTGGTAAACATATTTAGAGAAGAAGGAGTTGTTACAAATGTGGAACATCCGGGCAAACTAAAATCTATTCGAACTCCTGTCAATATTGCAAGAGTTCGACGTACTGTGAATGGAAATCCTCGGCATTCACTTCGCAAACATGCACAAGCGCTAAACTTGTCTCGTGCTATTATCTAGCGTATTTTTAAGAAGGATTTAAGTTTTCACCCTTACAAAATTCATTTAAGCCGATATTTGAAAAAAATTAAACACTTACTAAAGAAAAAATTTTCTGAGGAGATGATGACCCATTTTTTCAATGACGGTGGCTTAGAAGGGATTATTTTCCGTAACAAGGCTTTCTTTAACCTTAATTGATATGTCAACAAGCACAATGCTCGCTACTAGTGTCCTGAAAATCTACATGAATTACACCAGAAATAGTTGCATTCAAGAAAGGTGACAGTTTGGG